AATTGTCTGTATTGTATCACCGAAGCCAAAAACTAGTTCATTGATAAAATCGCCTGAAAGTTCTGTCACCCTTTTTAATAATCGTCGCACTTTGGGTTGAGACTTGTCGCACTTTGTAATTAAAAGAAGCTGTTGCGTTCGACGTTTACTCTCGTTGAAATACAAATCGAGTTATGTAACAAAAACGGAGAAAATGTTTTCTGACTTGGGGAAATATATGGGGGTATTTTATGCATACTAGCATAAACATTTTACCGAATCGATCCATCCGGCGAAGTTAATGATAAGTCAGTTTCAACGACTAGCTTCATCTTTGTGATCGAAAGATGGTAATTATTTCCATTCGTGCAGATGAACAGATGGGAAACTCGCATTAACTACCGGTGAGCAAGATACTTCTTGCGAGTCTTAACGGTTTGATAGCTTTTGTTACTAACTGTTGAAATTTGGCTATTTTATATACAGGATACGTTTGACTGATTTCTTTCCGTCCTGTTAAAAAAAAAAAATCTTTAAGTGAAACATTATTATTCGACTTATGGCCAAAATAAGTCTATTTTTACGCCTGACGGCTAATTTGTTTTTGCTACTTCACAGCCAACGGCGGGCTAACCCTATTGAGACCCTGCTAATTCCTTAGGTTAATAGTGTTTTAAGCGAGGTTCAGGAATTAGTTTTTTAGAAAAAAATAAAAGCTTATTTTATTGACTCATAATAATCTGCAGTGTTATAACAAGGTTTTTTCATATCGTGTTTTTTTCCAGTCGTTATTGCGTAAAACAGCATTCTGCACCTGGTGAAAACAATCTCATTGTCCGTTTATGACGGGAAAATACAGTTAAAATACACTCGCGCAGAAAAAAGCGATTGAGTGTTATGTCCATTAACTTGTGCCTCCTGCAAAGGACTTTGAAATTCATTGAAGAAATTGCCACATAAGCATTGTGACCAAGTCACTAACCGTCGGTAACTTACGTTTATCCTAAGCCTGATGAATTGCGTGATGAGTGAGAATGAATTTGGTAAAATGTTCACAGCCATGTCTGTACGTTGCGTGCTGAGTAAGTACGAACTCTGCTTTGTATCTTGGTCAGGTTTTAGAGGCAAATAGTGGATGATGAGGTAAAGATATCTTGGTATTAGAATATACTACAACCAGGTTTTCGCCAAAGTAAACCAGAAAAAGCGATGATTAAATGGACCCTTTCCAACTTATTGATTAAACAACGAGAGAAACTCCTCCTCTTAAGTCTCATCATTAAAAAGTACATGAATGGTTAAATGAATAAACGAATAAAACTAAAGGAGGAAAAGTGTTACCTTTTTCCAATTTCTATAGGATGCAAAATTGGTTGGAAAAAATTAACCATAGTGACGCAATTTCTGGGTTTTAAATTGTTATTCATAGTTTTTATCTTTTGACGGTCTGTGCAACAGCTTTTCGCAGCGATATATAGGATAGAAGGAAAATAATAAACTATATGTAGCCACTATCCTCTGAGGATACTGTGAAAAGATTTCTCCTGGGAAATACATACGCCATCCAGTGGTGCCAGTCTTGAAAATGAAAAGAAAAACATATGTACAAAAAAATAAAAAAATAAAAAAAAACAATAACAACGATAATGATGAAAAGATCTCGTCGACTACGGCCAACAGAAGGCAAGACAGGAGGCACTTTATGAAACGGTTTGTAGATTTTTTGCGAAGTGTTGTCTGAACTAACACCACCTCCTTTGTCACGAAGCCGAGAGACGATTCCTGTTTTCCACCCAAAATAATTTATTGGTCTGCGATCTAACTTTACACTTAAAATTCTGAAAACCACACTAAATCTTACGATCTCGAACCTTATTATGGGTAGTCGTTTACGTCATACCTATTTCTAAAACACTATTTCTAGCAGAAAGAACATTCTAGACGCTCATGATGACAGATCCTTAAAATAACTCAGCAGAATATGTTCCGGAATAAGAAGAAGTTTCTAGCACAGCTAATAATATAAGTGATGCGGTAGTTCAATGTTCCAAATTGTTCTTTCAATTTCTGGAGACTTCGTTACATCCTACCAGAAAAAAAAAATCCCAACCCATACAGGAAAAAAATTTCGAGTTTTCATTGTTCTCTATCGTTCCCAGGAGTCATATGGACTCAAATATCTCAGTTAACTTCTCTGAAATAGAGTTTCAACAACTACCACAGCGAGTGGTCAAACTGGTAACCTCTTCATCCGCGATTAGTACAAAATTTACTTTACCACATTAAAAGGAATATTGCTACATTTACACGACATTAAATGTATCTCTTAATATTCTTTCTTCTAGTTCTCGTGATAGTGAGGTTGAAAGTAGCAGGTAAGACTGCGAAACTCCTAAGTCAGTTGATTTGAAACATTTCCCAGTAGACTTAATAGAAAACCAAAAACAAAGAAGCAACAAAATCAGACTCCCGAGAAATGGCTCAACAATCTTACGAATGGATGCAATTGGTCTGATATAGGTGGGTTGGCAAAAAAGCAACAAAGATAATGGGAAAACGTGATCTTTCAGATACACAAACTACCGTATATAAGTTAAAATCACCAAGATGAAAACAAACAAACAAACAAACAAATCCAAAGCAAACCAAGACAAAAA